GAGACAGGTTACAAGTCTGAGTTGAAACACCATGGATTATGATTGTCAATATCTAACTCTTGATATAGAGGTTTAAACTCTTGTCATCACTGTTTTTCCAAAGCATTTAGATAGTAATTTAACCCAAATAAGGTCTCAGGTAGCAAACTGTACAAAATACAGAATAAGAAAAATTATGGCAAACATGAAAAGATAAAACAATGGCATAAAAATGGAAAGAGAGAAGGAAACAAAACAAAGAGAAACACAAAAACAGCAACAACAAAAAACTCACTTCTCCTCCTTGGCATTTGGATCCTTTTGGACTTTGACCCCCAGCTCGGTGAAGTAAGGACCCCACCACGCCAAGGCCCCAGCCACAAACGTCACACAGGTGAAGGCCAGGGTTGACAGGATAAAGCTCTTACTGCGAGATGAGAGAGAGAGAGGAATTACAGAAAAAGGAAGACAAAGCACTTTATACTTTCACAGATGCATGGTGGTATTTTTTTTTTTCTTTTTCCTGGATACTTATATTCAAAACTACTGAAGTTGGAGGACCAGAGGTGGTCTTAACCCAATGGTGCCGGGGAAAATGAACAAAAAATGGAGAAAATGCTGTGCCCACTTTCTATGTTTTTCATGTCTGCCGATAGATGGCTCTGCTAGCGCCTGATTTGAAATGGCGGGAAAAACGTATTTTTCACTAGTGCTATGAAAATCGATGGTGTTATTTTTATCATAAACATTATAATTTTTATAATGTTTTTTTAACATTAGTAACAGCAAAATAAGATTACGTAAAATATTTCATAAATCAAAGAAACGGGTAAACGGGCGAGACGGGTGGGACTCGTAGTTGGCTCATTGGTGATTTAGTGCAAGTGTTGCCATCTATGCGTAAAAACAATCAAACAAGTACTCATGGTGGGCATAGCACGTACGTACACATCATACCCGGCACCAATGGGTTAAAAGAAAACTGCATGTCAAAGCCATCTATAAATGTACATATCTGTAACCAATCTCCATATCTTAAAGTAATGTGTATATATATATTTTTTTCTATGCACAATATCATTAATCTGCTGCTTCTCATTTCTTCTGATATTTAACTAATTTACCCTTAATTCTACATCCTGAAATATATCTATTTTATCTGCATTTTAATTAACTAACAACTATCCAAACTAGCAATTTGTCAAAAGCCCAGTTTGGAAGAAATTCTGAATTTGTCAGCACTGAACATTAGAGTGCTATCACTTAATCTAGAGCTATAAACCATGCACTCAATCTCTCGGCCATCTGTTACCACCCAGCTCCCAGCTCAAATAACACACTAAATCCCAGGGAAACGCACTTGGTGAAGAGGTATCCAAGATCCTCCAGGAAGGAGGTGGATTGGAGATGCTGGCCTCCTTCGCTCTCTCCTCGAGGGGGCTCCTGCAGTAAACACAAGATGAGGAACAGGGCCAGGAAGCCCATGACTGGCGTCACCCTTAGACCCCAGCGCCATGCCTCTGACCCATGGCTGTCTGACAGGAGGTTGGTTACTTCAGCACCAATGATGTAGCCCAGACCACTGTACAGAAAAAAAAGTTGGGTTTTAGTTTTGAGGTTTAAGAAAGCTGTTAGTGATTATCATGTATCATTATTATATATAAAAATCATGGAAATTAACTACCATTGCCTAACACTGTTTCCTTTTCATTATTATCATGATCATTATTATTATTAACATTATTTTTAACATCTTTATTACTGGAAAGGCAGGGGGTGCAGGCCTCTAATTTGCTAATAAAGTCAGCATATTTCTTTGACAAATATGGGAAGAAATTTGACAACAGAAAGAGCATGGGAAAGCACTAACTCCCAATGCTTTTTCTATGAGTATCCCCTATGAGTATGCGCCTGATCACCCCTCCCCCTCCTTGTCCTTCTCACCTTCCGACGGGGATTGCGAAGTAGAAAACGGCCAACATCTTCGATCTTAAGTCCTTCACAAAGAGATCCGAGATGATTGTTGGTGCTATGGTGGAGTAGCTTGCCTCCCCCACACCCACGAAACAACGGAACAGGAGGAACAGCAGGTAGTTCTGTTAAGGAAGATGGATAAATGAACAGTTACAACCAAATGTAATCTTTTATTTATCATTTACTATACCACAAAAATACACTTCCATTGAAAGATGTTTGCTTGTTCAATATAAAAAAGAAGTAACTGACTTGACTGTTTCAATCTAAAAACAATTCCAATAGGGAAGGAAGAAGAGAAAAAAAAGCAAAAGGAATGAAGAGGAAGAAAAAGTTGATCCGAAAAAAAAGAAATAAGAAAAATACAAAAACAGAAGACAATAGGATGAATAATGATATGACAAGCAAGACAAAGATGATGATGAAAGGCAAGGAAGAAAACACATTGACCACGTGGGTCTCCAGAACCCAACCCTTGTCTGTCCACTGCCACCCATAAAGCCTATGTGGTCATGGCTTAACCCAAAGAACATAGGCTGTATCGACACCGCAGCTGGCTCGGTGATAACAATCAATTTGGAGCAGTGAGTGGCTTAACAGGCTTCAAGTGGTCCTACAATGCATATGCTGCACCAAACAACCACATGGGCAATAAGTGGTTCTTCCTGGGTAATTACGGGCCTAATTCCTTCCATCTATGTGAAACAGGAGTCAGGCCTTTCATATAAAAATACTTTATTTCTGGCCTATGGTTTCCCCAGTCGAATGGTAGTGACGAACTCAGCACGGTGGCCAAGTACACCAGGTACTTCCGTGTGACACACGGACTAAAGCAGTAGATAAATGCAGTAAAGCAGAAGACTAAAGTGTGCAGTAGGTGGAGTAAGATGTAGTCATGAACAGTAGCCGGACCAAAAATGGTAGATAAAGGAAGATTAAAAGGAGTAGACATATACAGGAGGTAGACAAAAATGAACAAAGACGACCGGTAGACAAAAAAAAAGTAAGCAAATAATCAAGTGACAAAAATAAAAATACGAAAATAAGTCCTCGGAATTGGCACTCACAGGCATGAACGACCCCACGAGCGTCGCCAGGCACCAGAAGAAGATGCCGACGGCCATGAGGTACTTCCTGGAGAACCGGTCGCCCAGGTAGCCGAAGACAGGGGCCATGATCATGTAGACGAGCACGAAAGCCGTCTGCAGCAGCCCCGACTGCGACTCGGTCATGTCGAACGTCTTGGTGATGTCGCTCAAGATGCCTGGAAAAGGAGGAGATAAGAGTGAGTCACGAGTAAGGTTTTACTATTGTTGGTGGTGATCGTGATTGCATGGTGGAAATTTTAGGTATTTTATGGTGATGATTGTGACTGTCGATGGAGAGGCTTGGGATTTGACTGTTATTGTGTTTGCAAAGACAGTCACGATTGAGGTTTTATTGCAGTGGTGATTTTTTAATATATCTCCTATTTTAAAAGTAATTGCAGTAGCATTATTAACCTTTAGGTACCTTTGTTTCCTCAATAAATGAATCCTGAAAGATCCGTAACAAAAAACTAGATTTTAAGGCTTTCAAAAATAAGGATTATATACTTGTGGGAAAAAAAAAGATTTTTGAAGTCTGGAAAAAATCCTACCACTGTTTAAGCGCTGCAAGTATTAAAAATAAAATAGGATACGCAAAGACACAAAATAACCTCCCCAAAAGAAGAAGGAAAAAACAAACTTTTCTTACAAAATGTCACAAACACACACACACACACACACACACACGATGCCGACATTACAAGCCATCTGTCATAATTCATCGCATGTTTGCATGACCACGTAGCTAACAGGCATTATTTTACACGCCGAGCCAAGAGGGAAAAGACCGGGGGGGGGGGGGGGGTGATCACTTTACGACAACCACTTAAGGCGGCAAAGCAAAGTGCAAATCTCCAGCGGGAACAGCTGTGTCTTCTGCAACGACGCGGTATCTTGTTGCTAGTATTATGAGGGGAAAGAGGGAATGGGAAGAATGGAGGAGGAGAGAAGAGAAAGAAAGAGAAGAAAGTGAGAAGAGAAGAGAAAGGAAGGAGGAAGATAGGAAAGTGAGAAGAGAAGAGAAAAACAAAAAAAGAGAGAGAGAGAGAGAGAGAGAGAGAGAGAGAGAGAGAGAGAGAGAGAGAGAGAGAGAGAGAGAGAGAGAGAGAGAGAGAGAGAGAGAGAGAAGGAAGAAAAGACCGAAGAAAAAGGAAGAACAAGACAAATTGGATAATTATATAACTGTTGTTAAACAATCTCAGTGCGTTAATATATATTTTTTAAAGATCCAAAGCTAGATCAGAATAATTATATAAAATAATTATAACACATTCTGTAACAATAATGACGTATATTCAGATTACCTACGGTTAACACATGCACGCACACACATACATTTACAAATCACACAACTACTCACGCGCACTCGTACAAATGCTTTCTACATGGCAAAAATTATCATTGTAAACTCGCTCTACTTCCCCTTCCCTCTTCTACCACCTCCTCTCCCTCCCCCCCCCCTCCCACATCAGCCAGGAATTCCAACTCGACACTTTTTTTCTTAAAGCCACTTGCCCTCGTCTTTGCCCCTTGACCTTGGGCAGTCGACGCGCCTCCTGTCATGCCATTACGGTGTTGATGGACTATCCTCTCTCTCTCCCTCTCTCCCTCTCTCTCTCCTCTCTCTCTCTCTCTCCTCTCTCTCCTCTCTCTCCCTCTCTCTCCCTCTCTCTCTCCCTCTCTCTCTCCCTCTCTCTCTCCCTCTCTCTCTCCCTCTCTCTCTCCCTCTCTCTCTCCCTCTCTCTCTCTCTCTCTCTCTCTCTCTCTCTCTCTCTCTCTCTCTCTCTCCTCTCTCTCTCTCTCTCTCTCTTCTCTCTCTCTCTCCTCTCTCTCCCTCTCTCTCCCTCTCTCTCCCTCTCTCTCCCTCTCTCTCCCTCTCTCTCCCTCTCTCTCCCTCTCTCTCTCCCTCTCTCTCTCCCTCTCTCTCTCCCTCTCTCTCTCTCCTCTCTCTCTCTCTCTCTCTCTCTCTCTCTCTCTCTCTCTCTCTCTCTCTCTCTCTCTCCCTCTCTCTCTCCCTCTCTCTCTCCCTCTCTCTCTCCCTCTCTCTCTCCCTCTCTCTCTCCCTCTCTCTCTCCCTCTCTCTCTCTCTCTCTCTCTCTCTCTCTCTCTCTCTCTCTCTCTCCTCTCTCTCTCTCTCTCTCTCTCTCTCTTTTCCTCCTCATGTCTCTCTCTCTCTCCTCTCCCTCCTCTTCCTCTGTCTATTCATCTCCTAAATCTCTCCTTCTCTTTTCCCTCCTCCTGTCTCTTTCTCTCTCCTCCTCTCTCTCTCGTAAAAATCACAAAGTGGTGGGGAGGTGGTGGTTCTAAAATACGATTATTGTTTTCATCATATCGTTTACTGTGAAAACTTTGTCTATACGATGCGGTCGAATTCATGGAGGTTATCAAATAAATTCGCCAAGTATACAGTCACACATTTTGTATTATATACTGTATGTGTGTGTGTGTTTGGTATGCATGCATACAATCATGTATGTATGTATGTATTTGTAAGCCTATGCCTTAGAGTGTGTGAAGGCCTATGCGTATGTGACTATGTATGTATGCATTTGCATGTAAATGTAAATGTCCAGTATATGCATAATGGAAGACAGACTGGCAGACAGACAAATAAGAAAGTAAATAAACAAAAACATTTATATGTATAAGCAATGCTTATTTTACTTGCTGGAAGTCATTCCAGTATGAGACCAAAGAAATTAAGTCTGAGATTAATGAAAAAAAAATGAAGGCTTGATCTGGGTTCCCATGAAATGTACTGCATTTTGGCGCGTGCATTCACACACACGCACAATAATTACCAAATATATACATACATACATCAATACACATTTCTATATCTATGTACATGTTGTATCTATCTGCGGGTGTATATAGAAAATGTTTTTCTTTTTCACACTATTAGACAATGTGCAATAGACTCTCAACAAGGTAATGAGAGTTAAGCATGACACCAAACTGGGTCGCGATGAGAGAAAGAGAGAGAGAGAGAGAGAGAGAGAGAGAGAGAGAGAGAGAGAGAGAGAGAGAGAGAGAGAGAGAGAGAGAGAGAGAGAGAGAGAGAGAGAATGGCTTGCATAACACTATCCTTATCAGACATAAAATATCGAACTTCCTGTGTGTCAAGGTTGGACAAGGAACACCGCGCGTTTATCTGCTCAATAAATTCAAAATTACGATTTTGTATGAAAGGCGGCGGGCTTTTCTCTCTACTTCTGTTTACCTACTCTATTCTTCTCTTCTGTTCTAGTTCTCTAACACACACACACACACACACACACACACACACACACACACACACACACACACACACACACACACACACACACACAGAGAGAGAGAGGGAATGAAAAATGCCAATGCCAAATCCGGGATAACGCCCACGAAATGCCACAATGGGCGACGAAGTCACTTGACACCCCCGCCCTCACGCCCGCACCAGCCCGAGATGTCAAATCACTGGAATGAAACCGTGTAGAAAGAGAAATTGATACGGCGATGTTGAATAAATTACTAAGCCTTTTTCGAACAGAGATTTGGCGCTGTTGTGAAACACGCGTTCATATAAGGTGATAATAAAAATACCACAAAAATCTATAATAACCACGATAATAACACAATAAAAAAGAAGTAATCATCATATTAGCGTGAGCACGGACAACACCTTAAAATACGCGATTAAATAACAACATTTCGGAGAGTAAATATTCAACCACCACTCAAAAAACGACCGCTAAAATTCCCCACTCAAAAAACGACCGCTAAAATTCCCCACTCAAAAAACGACCGCTAAAATTCCCCACTCAAAAAACGATCGCTAAAATTCCCCTCACTTCTATCCCCAACCCCCGGTTCCCTACGACGCAGGAGTTACGTGCTGGTGAGAAGGAAAAATATAGGAAAGAAAAATAATACATACATCAGAAGTTTGCAATGAATCTGAATTTCAAAAATATGCGTTATGTACCCGGTTGTATTCATCTGCGGGCGTAAAAAGAAATTGTTTTTTCACACTATTAGATAATGTGCAATGGACTTTCAACAAGGTAATGAGGGTTAAGCATGAAACCAAGCTGGGTCGCGATGGAAAAGAAAGAGAAAGAGAGAAAGAAAGAGAGAGAGAGAGAGAGAGAGAGAGAGAGAGAGAGAGAGAGAGAGAGAGAGAGAGAGAGAGAGAGAGAGAGAGAGAGAGAGAGCGCCTTGTACACAAACATTACCTCCGTCACTTACAGGAATAAAATAAAAAACAAATTTATCCCTCTCTGGCAACTTAAAAAAAAAAAAAAAAAAAAAAAAACATTCGCGAATTGGGAGTATCACCATAGAAGGAGAAACAAGAGGGCGACTTGGCCCGGTTGAGTCGCTTTATCAGAGCCACCAAGAGAACGACAGTGAAAGTTCAACAGCTGGAGGTCACTACACACTGGAGTCGAGGAAAGGAGGAGGGTTTTACAGACAGATAGATACGTAGATAAAAGGATCTTTAGCAAATAAAAAATATAACAGGTAAATGGATATACACGACCATAAATAGGGACGAGTGGAAAAAAAGAAAGAAAGAAAGACAAAAAAAAAACAGTGCACGTGAAGAGGAGAAACAAAAAGAAAAGATAAAGACAAGGCCAACCATGCCTGTAATTCTCAGTCGCCAAACGGACCCAACGAAGAGGCATCGAAGTAACAAGGTGGTCGCATACTAGGTCACGAGGTACAGCAGTTGGGGGAGCGAGGGGGAGGAGGAGGAGGAGGAGGAATAATAAGAAATATAGGGAGGAGGAAAGCGAAGAAAGCAAAGAAGGAGAAGAGAAAGAGTAGGAGAGACAAGAAGAGATGAAGGAGGAGAAAGATGGAAGAGGGAGAGAAGAGAGAGGAGAGAGAGAGAGAAGGAAAACGAGAGGCAAGCGAAGCAAACGAGGGAGAAGGCGAAGGAGAAGAAAGAGAAAGACGGAAAAGAAAGAGAAGAATGAAAAGAAGAAGAAAAATAAGTAGGAATAAGACAGGAGAAGGCGGGGGCGATGGAAAAGAAATACAGACATAAACATAACTGGAAAACACTTTGCCTTCGTGGACCTCATCCCGCGTGACTACTTATCGATAATAAAAGTAAGTGAGAACGCACATAGAATTGAAATTCAACACAATTACACGTTACGTCCTATCACCAGGTGTCTGTCCA